CCTTGTAAGACATGTTCAAAATTAAACTTAAACAAATTTAAAAAAATGGTTATTCCAATTTTTGTCAGCGTATTAAAGAGCAGGTAGGAAACTTATTTCAAAATTATAAAAAATCTGTTGTAACCCAATAAAAAAATCGCTCGAAAGCAAAATGTTTAATGAGGAGATAAAAGTGTTTCTGAAAAAGGAAACATAATTCAATTAAAAAATGTGTTACAAGAATCTGTGTAAGCAATTGTAAATTTAAGTGCAATAGTGTCGGAATTACCTCGAAGAGCTGAAAAAGTTAAAGAAATGATAGAGAAATATATTAACTAAGCTCGTCTGAGTATTGGCACTCAAGAAGTTATTGTTTTTGACACGCAAAAAACATTACCAGTTTCATGTCTCACGCTAAAAATAAAACACATCAAACTCCTAAAAATTGATTTCAAAAAATGTTTTGTATACATAACTATTATGAGGATTTTATTTTTGAAGAAGTTTATTTTAACAAAATAATAAGAGCTGGGCCACCAATCAACTAGCTGGGCCACCAATCTTTCTTATGTAAATCAAGAATTAGTATTTCCATAATGAAAAAACAATTTCTGTTAAAAAAAAGGATTTGCTATCATTACCTGAATTTATAATTTTATATTTATTTTAATTTTCATATTTTAATATTTTTCAGAGTAACTTGATGTGTTTGGTACTAGAGTTTTTTTCGATCTGAAATAATTAATAGTTCTTTATTTAATATAAAATTCATATTGCGCAATGTATTTTTTTAACTTTGTTATCTTAAAAATATATTTTTTTTTTCATATTGTTTAAACAATTTGAGATTTAATTAAATCTCAAACATTTAAAGCTTTTATTAAATTATATCTAAACATAAAATTTAAATATTTGACCATAATAGCTAAAAATTATTATGCGAAGAAACCTATATGTAGTTTATAAATATTTATATCGTAACTAAGTTTGAAAAAAAGCCAAAATTCTTAAAATGGCTTAACAAATAGTATATTACATAAAAGCCAGAAACGCCAAACTTATTTGACGCAGGCCGCATACTTTTATTTATAATGTTGGGCAAAAAATAAAAATAGTTTTTAGTTTGATAAACAACAAATATTCTACAACTTAATATTTAAACTTTTTCTAAATTTTTAAAAAGGATTAATTTTATTATGGTTCTGCTTTATGCTTCAATAATTTTAAATCAAAAAATTAAAATCAACTCAAATACTATCATTTACCGAATTCAGAAACCAAGATACAAATCAGCAAAGAGCAGCCGTGGTGTTGCGGTAGCGCATTTGCCTCAGAAACAAAGGATTTCTGGAGCCCCACCTCTGGGCAAGTTTTGCGACATCGGATAGGAAAGAGGCACGAACTTCCTATTAAATGCTTTTCCGCGTTGCTCTGTGATAAGACCGTAAGGATATCTTAACGTGCCTAAAAAGAAAGAAAGAAAAAAAAAAAAATAATAATAATATTACAGTTAATAAAGTTATAAAAGAAAGTCTTTAAATATACAAGTTCACAAAGAAAGTTTTCAAAATGTTTAAGATGTTTTCCACAAAATTAGATTGCGAAACTTGATTTCAAGATCAGTCCAACAATTACTAATAAGGTATTATTTTGTTTAACTTAAAAATATTTTGATGTATTGTTCTTTAACTAATAAGATTTTAAAACGCAAAATTTTGCATCTGTACACTTACTCTATGGTTGACATTGAACATAATAATGAGGAAAATTTTCTACAGTTGTTCGTGGCACAATACAATTTGCTGTTAGAGTTTTCTAGTCTAATAAAAATTCTAATTTATTAGAGCTACAACCATATTTATTATTGATAAATCTACAACCATATTTATTGTTGATTATTAAAGTTAATATTAAAAAAATTATCTGGATTTTTATTGGTTGATTAAAGTATCTGCATTTTTATTGGTTGATTAAAGTATCTGCATTTTTCAACTTTTGCTTTAGAAAAATGTTTTCAAATAATTTACCCTTGTAAATATTTTTTAAATAGCCTGGTCTGGTGTAGATGTTCTATTTTAAAAAACACTCTCCTATAAATATAAAACTAATATTCGCTAAAAAACCAAATAAATTAGAAAGTCAACCAGCTGTAATCTTTTCTGTAATCATGTCACTCTTTTGTGCTTTGTTCTATGCTTATAATTATTAATATCAAATGGTTTTGGAGCCACACGGTTACTAAGGTCAATATTTACAATACTATTATCTAAATGCTTTCTAATATTTGAGAGGTGAGCTATGCTTTTTAAACCATCATAAGTGCTCTGTACATTAGTATTTTTGACATTATTTAGAATTATCAGTGACAATTTTGGTATTATTTATAAAAATGTTATTTTTTCCTGAAGTATTATTATCATTTGAATCTTCTGTGAGATTATTGATATAGAAGTCTATGTTTTAAAGTGTTTTTTTTGTGAATTATATTTGGCTCCAAAAAGGGAGATTTCTCCAAAAGAGATTTTAAAGGAGGGAGTAGCCTGTTTTTTTCCCCACTAACTTATCTAAAAAAAAAAAAAGGTCCTCGTTTTCCGACATTTGCCGACTGCCAACTATAAATCCAATTTTGCCGAATCCAGTGTCCGATTTGCCGACTAATGAAATTTGTAGGGAGGCTAGACACCTCCCTACGCCCCCTCGGGACGGCCCTGGCTCAAAAAATATTAAAGTAAATATAGTCTGATAAAACAAATGCAATTCTTTGTGAGTATTTATAATCTACATGTAGTGCGGCCGTGGCGCAGTGTTTAGAGCACTTGCTTTATAAGCAGGAGGTCTAGGTTCGAAACGAGCATTGGACATATTTCGCGTTATGGTAAGGAAGGAGGCGTGAACTTTCTGCTTAAATGCACTTCCGCGGTGCTCTTCGACGAGACCGTTAGGACTTCTTGAGGCACCTAAAATAACAAATAAAATAAAAAAAAGACAGATTTTGATTTTATTAGACTAATTAAATCGAAATACTATTTAGTAGTAAATGTCATTAGTAATAATTAGTACAAAATAAACATGTTAGATCTCTAAAGCCTTTTTTTTTAAAGTGTTTTTTCAATTTTTTAACAATTAATTATACATTTTTTTAAAATATTGCTTAGATATGGATTTGCTGATTTAGCCATTATGTCATCTCTTGTTTTTCATTTTTTTTAAGATTCATTTAATTTTAAAAAATTGTTACACTTTGTAACTGTTCTGTGCAAGATAGAACCAAAATCTTTTCTTTTTTAGTTATAGTGTTTTATTGTAGTTATTGTATTTTAAAAATCACAAAGTAAAAGTAAGCAACCCAGTACACAACCTGCTAATACCAACAGGACAAATGCAATGTTCTTTTTCAAGATTAAATCGATTAAAAAGTAAAACAACTGATCTCAAATAGTCACAATATGATTTTTTACTCATTGATTTAACGCATGTAACATTTAACCAGGTAACTATTTTAACTGAAACTATTTTGCGACTTTGTGTTTTTCCTGGTATTCCGCAGTTACCTTCCTTTTTATGGTCACAATATCTGTAAACGATATCTTCACTAACTTTACTAGGGTGAAACAACTCGTCTGATGGCCATTCACCTATAATTTTAGGTAAGACTGCATTGAAAATACATTTTTGCTATTCAATACTGCCTATTTTATGTAACTATTGAATATTGCCTAACTTAAGGCATTTGCTTTAGATAACGTAAATACATTTGTAGCTTGTTTCGTAATTCCAGGAAAGTACGAAGACTCATTATCACTTTGAACCCATTTAACACATTTACATTTGGGATTAAAGAATTAATAGTATTTAATTCTTTATCTAATCGCTCTTTATTAAAACTATCTACATTTTTTGTTGATTTTTTTTTTAAAAACAAAATTACCATCTTTACTTTTTTCCTTACATCGAATTAATTTCAATGTAGCTATCTCATTTTTTTTCTAAAGTCTCCAGATTTGTGAATGTTTTCAGTATATAAAATATTTATACACCTTCAAATAGTAAAAAATCATAAAGCATAGCTTTATTTAAGAAACATACATGAAGCATATATTATGTTTCTATAATATTGCATAAGTAGGCACTTTAGAAGCTGTTTGATCACATATTACGTATAACGTAAATTATATTTGGAAAACTTCTTGTCTTTGGGGTGATAATGACATTTTATCATTTTTTTTTTTAAGGTTGAAAAAAATTGTATTAAACAAAGATCATCAAAGAAACATTTTGAAAATATGTTGTCTAAAGCAAAAATTGAAAAAACTTCATCAAACAAAGTTCATAAAAGAAACTGAAAATAAGTTTTCTAAAGAAAAGATTGAAAAAAAATTCATCAAAGTTCATCAAAAAAACTGAAAGTTTATTAAAGCAAAGATTGAAAAAATTTAAAAAACTGAAAATAATCTTTAATCCTAATCTACAATTTTTACGGTTTAAAAATGTTGAAAATGTAAAAAAAAAATTTTAAACTTTTATCAAATTTGAGAAAAACATGTAAACAATACAAAATTTAAAAAAAAACTATTTATTACAAAAATTTACAATTTACAAATTGATTAAATTTCACATGATCGCAATTTACAATTGGCGTCAATCTTGTTGGTAAAAATATACATACTAATTACTAAGGTTTTAAATGATTTTCTTCAAGAAATAATTAAAAAAAAAAAAGAATGATAAATAAATAGGACCCTTTCAACAAAGTTTATCACTATTCATCTGAGAAGTGAGAAAAAAAGATTGAAGGTTTTTTGAGTTAAACAAAAAAAGAAACTATTTTTTTGTTTGTTTACGTTTCGTGAAACTAGAAGCAGACCAAAAGTATATTTTTCTACAATTTGTCATCGACATACGTCATAAAATGCCAATTTGACTAAGGTTCGAGCGTAAAATAAAACGTAATTAAAAAAAAGATTTTTCATCGCTTTCAAAAATAGAAACACACATACTTGTTTTAGCTAATATGATTACCATTTATGATTTGATTACTTGGTTTCTTTTTTTGTTTAAATCAAAATCCATTTTTTATTAAAATCGGTAAAGTCAAAATAAATAAATAAAATAATAAATTGTACTAGACAACTTTACAGCTTCTTCAACATTCATAAATAGATTTATAGGATAAAATTGCTTTATTAAAACAAAACAATAAAATTCTTTATTTGTAAGCAACAATAAAGAAAAAAGTTTCCATTTCAATTGCTAACTATTATCAACAACTTCAACAACAATATTTGGAAAAATACCTTTCCGGTCTTCGTAAATACCCATCCACCATCCATCATCGTCGTCAACTTGCTGACTTATAACTTTAATGAAGTCACCTTCCTTAAACGAAAGCTCTTCTTCTTCGCACGCATCGTAATCATATAAAGCTTTCGCATAACATACTAAATCCAACGTTAATGATTAAAAAAAAAGTACTTAAAATAAATAACGAAGATTTCAAATCATAAAATTTAAAAATCTTTTTACTGAATTCGTCTTCTGTACTAGTATTTTTAGCATCGATTAGTTGAATATATGCTTCTGGAACATACCCAACTTGACCTGCATTATTACGCACCTAAGGGAAAGAGAAAAAATTTTTTTTCTTTCTCTTTAACAACGAGTCGGAAAACAACAACAAACAAAAAAAAAAACACCTTAAACTATAAGAATAATATACAGAAAAATAAATAAATACAAAAATTAGGTATTAAAACAGAATATTTGAGACTTGAAAGTTACAAAAACTATTTATAATACTAAACTCAAATTCTAGATCCCCGAAACTCGGTAAAAATTAACTTGTACCTCAAAGTGTCCTTCCTGTTTCTATGTTCAAAGAATTACCTGATATCTCTATTAAATCATCAGAACAAAAACTTCAATGGAGTTAATGAAGATAGTAAAGATTAAATGTATTCTTCTAACCAAAAAGTACCTGCTCTTAACGGTCAACAAAAGCAGGTACAATGCAGTCAACTCCAAAGAGTTGACTTCTACAACACAACTTATGTGCTACAGCATATCAACTGTAACCCTGAACGCTAGTAAACATAGTTATTTGTTGTTGCTTAAGTAAATATACTTCTTTGTTGTATATTAAGTAAACATAGTTATTTGATTACATGGTGCGATAAGATTAGTTTAAAAAATAATTTGAAGTTGCTCCTGATTTTTTCTAGACCAATTTTTATAAAATATTTTTTATGAAATACTTTATTTTATAATAGATACATACAATATAAATATACATATTATAGTAACACATTTACTTTAAAGTAAAAGTTATCTTACACTCAAGTCTTACCTTACACCACCCATCACCTTCATACTCTATAATTTCTATCTTTTCCCCACTGGAGATTGAAATCTCTTCCTGAGATGTAGACTATAAAACAATAAAAGGATAAAATTTAATATTTATACATTTAAAAAATACTTTCATTGAAAACAAAGAATAGAATGCAAAATTATGCATTAGAAAAAAAAAGTATAGAAAATCATTACATTATCTTTAAACGTCATTAGGTGTGCTATGGCCTACTTAAATACACGGCCTTCTATTCTGCTTAAACCGACAAAAAATAGAAGGCTAGTTGAAAAAACGTATATTCCATCAAATGGACAAACTTTCTCAAAATATTTTAATTATTGCGTTATAATTTTTAAGTAAGTAAATGTGGCGCTGGATAAAAGTCAAGTTTTAGCGTTGGATTAATAGCCACCTCTATTAAACTTCACCAAACTTTGTAATGTTATTTGTGACTACTTATTTCGTTATTAATTATAATAATGGTTAATAAATACCTCAGTATTTATTGGTTTAGTAATTAAGTTGGTTTTAACTCTTATTATTGTTATTATGGCGGTGAAGTAGTCCGTGTTTTTAGTTTTTCAAAAGATGATGATTTGAAAAATTTGTGGTTTAGAATTAGTAAACAGAAATTCCTTGACTGTCATTTAATGATCTGTTTAAAACATTTTGATGAAATTTTAATACACAAAGGAGCATCGCCAAAAAGATTTTGTTTTTTGTGCAATTTGAGGCCTGTTTCTGCGATGTGCCCTGCTAGCATAGCAACAGCTTCACTTTCAGTTGTGTCTATACCAAGGAAATTACCAACTAACTTTTTTCGAGAAGATATATATCAGAAGATTTTATCAATATTTTATTCAGTTATATTATATATTCATTTTCCAAATTTGATGATTGTGTCATGTTCCATAATTTATTCAAAATGAACTGCGCATGCCTGAAGTTGCTGAGTGTATTCATATTGACAAAAATCTTTATGTCAAACTTTTTTATAAAAAAGCACCTAAAATAAATAGCAAAGTTGTCCATCCTAGAAATTACAAAAAAAATGTCACTATTGCTTTAGGTATCTACAAGTAAACCAACAAGTAAACTATTACTTCGTGACTGTTTAGATAATAATACATATAATAGGTAAAGATACCTTTCAATAAAAGGTGGACATTTACAAATTCAAAAAATCAGTTTTCTAATAACTGTCTTGGAAATGCTGCTATTATTAATCATAAAAGTTTTTTCAAGCGTTTTTCTGACCGGATAAATAAATGGAAAAACACAAAAATTCCAAATTTCGAAAAATGTACATTATCTTCTCAAACATCAACAGAACACAGAGCTTTATTATGTCAAGCTTCGTTAATAGAAGATCTGTAGGAAGATAATTATAAATTTATAATGACTTTTTAAAGTGATTAGTTAGGAAGAAAATTGAGACAATACTGCCAAATGAGTGGTGGCAGGATCCTTGTCAGTTTGAAAGACATAATTTATAGTAAGAAGATAATCCAAATAAAAAGTTTAATAAAGGGAGGAATTCAAATTTTTGAAAATGAAATTAATGCTGTTAATACACAACATGGTAGATTCTTGATGGTTCAGATCAAAGAAAGAGATTTAGATTGTGCGATTTAATCAGATAATTTTCGTTAAGTTGCCAGTTATATTGCTGGTTTTATTGCCAAAAACTGATTAAAATGTTTAAAGTATGTTGTAAATTGCTTTGTACTCAAAATTGTAAACAGAAGACAAATGATTATAATTATCTAAATAAATTGTCCAGAGGTGGGCTAACAACTTCATAATTGCTGCTTTTAGAATATGTCTGTGACAGTTTTGTTATGCAACACCATAAATCAGCAAAGTTAGTTCATAGCCATAGAGAAGTTTACCAACCATTTTTATGTTTAAACCACCAAAATTGGGGAAAAGAAATTATACACACTGTTATTTCAAATATTTATTTTAATAACATCAGAAAGAGATTCCATAAAGTCAGTGATTCCATTGTTTCTGATAACATTATTGCCTTTATAAAAAGACAGAGGAAAAAATTAAGATATTTTGTTTTACATTTAAAATAGTTTGTGTATTTTTATTAGTTGTGTTTGTGTAATTTTTTTTATACTTTTAAAACTTATTTTTGAGAATTTGTTTTTCTTTCAGAATTTAATTTGCTAAGTCCAAATTTTTTTTTCAAATCTTATTTCTTGTACAGTCCTTGAATATCCTAAAATTTTTACTGACAAATCTAAATCATGTCTTTCTAAAATCATTTTAGTAATATTTAATTAGAAAGTTAAAAATGTTGAGTTGTTTTCTATAAACACAGCATTACTATTTATTACTAAAAAGAAGCCTTGATTAAGTATACAAAGTTTAGTGAAGTTTAGTAGATATTTCGATTAAGCCAACTCAAAAATTTTATCCAGTGTCAGGTTTACTTACTTAAAATTTATAGCGCAATAATTAAAATATTTTGAGAAAGTTTGTCCATCTGACAAAATATGGGTTTTTTTAACTGGCTTTCTATTTTTTTTCAATTTAAGCAGAATAGAAGGCTGTGTATTTAAGTAGGCCATGGGTGTGCTCAGGGCTGTAGAGTTGGAGTTGCGATATTTGTAGCAGAATCAGAGTCACTAAACAAAATTGTGACTCCGACTCCAATAGTAAAACTTCTTTTTATTGCACGTGCATGTACAAAATATTAAACCTTCAAAAGATTTTTCATATGATTTGTAAAAAAAAATTTTTAATTATCACATAATATTTTTAAAAGAATTCAAAGAATTTTTTGAAAATAATTGGTCAAAGACCTGCATATTCAAATAAATGAGAAAAAAAAAAAAAAAAAAGAAAGCCCATAAACAACCTAATTCATAAAGTATTACTGTAAATAATACTGGAAATCAGGCTTCAATCAATAATGAAATAGTAGTTACAGCTCATTGATATTCACATATAATTAGTGATTTCGCCGGTTATCCGTTTCAAAAACCGGATAACGGGCGAAATCACAACCGTTCTCATCAATTTGCGGTTAACCGACTATTCGGTTGAGTTAGTGACATTTTCTGAATACAGGATCTTCTAAATTTCAACGAACGTAGCGTTTTAAACTAATTTTTTAAAAATTAATGTTAAAGTGTACATTTTCAAGACAGTTAGTGAATACAGTCCTATAATATATATTTATAACAAAACATGGAAAAAGATATATATATTTTTTTATATTATAATATAATATACCTTTTTATTTATTTAATTAAAAAAGGTAGGAATAATGTACAAGTTAGTTTAACTGTTTTAATATCAGCGGATATTTTAAAATCATTCTTTCATATAAAAACATTTGATTTGGAAAAATGAGATGTTATGAAGTAAATTTTTTTAGCGTGTATTGTTATGCGGACATAGATGGAAACATAGATAAACTTGAATGTTCTCAAAACAACTTGTTGCGTAAAAATAATATAAAGAATATTTGCTAACACTAAAATATCGCCAAATCTACGAATAAACAAATTCTATTGGTTCAAAAAATACGCTGAATAAGCGAATTAGAGTTCCAGAATATTCTGAAGAAACTTTCTTAAAAATGTATTGCTTGAGTTGTAAAAGTAATAAATAAATCTTTGTGATTTCTATTGTAAATTGTTTTAAGAATATATTATCAAACAAAACTGATTAAATTAACATTTAAATTAATAAAAGAAATATATTATAATCTTTGATAAATTAACATTTGTCAAACAATAATTGTCATAATTACGATGTTACTTTCTATAAAATTTCGTAACATTTTTAAGTCAGTTTTTATTATTCGAAAATGATATTTGATATTCGAACAAAATCCGGTTAACTGCAAAACCAGATAACCGGCGAAATCACTATATAATACATGCTCTCAAGTAAACACCTAATTAAAAATTATATGTTAATAATAATTATTATAGCAATACAAATTTATTCTATTAAAAATGTTTCAAATAGTTATACAGAGATATTTCAACTTCTAATTGTTTGGGGCCATTTTTTAATTTTTAAGACAAAATAAAGATTAATTGAGGAATATTTAAAAATAAATAAGACAGGCTATACAATTAAAACAGTACTCAACAATAATAACAATAAAAAAAATAAAAAAAAAAAAAAAATAAATAATAAAAAAAAAAATATATATAAAAATAAAAAAAATAAAAAAATAAAAAAAAAAGTTTTATAAATACCAATATGAACTAAATTATACAAGAAATACATAACCAGTCAAAAGTGTACTTCATTTCTTCCCTCAGGCATTCACTGCTCGTGTGTGACCATTCGGCGAATTTTATATGCCAAAGTTTTTAAATAATATTGGGCCTAGCCCGTAAGGGTTAGTGTTACGGTCATCGAGCACGACTATTTTCCTAATCGCAATTACTGTCACCGCGAAATAGGATTTTTGTCTGTGGAAGATGCCTGGGCTAGCATTTTAGTCATAAGTCAGTTATAAATCCATGCATAGGTGTTTAATCCATCATGGTTTTCTAGAGTATGGCTGGGCCGGCTTTGTTTAGTTCAGAGACAAATCTTTTACGCTGGTTACTAACAATACAAGACTCTACTGAACGACATAAACAGCACAGACTTACACATTACAACTATACACCCTTATGCACATACAGCCTGTTTACATCTTTTGCATGCTTTTTGTTCTTTCATAGATAAACTATCTTTGTTTGAACTCATCCTTATTTAGATAATATTTTCTTTTAATGGATATGTTGTTGAAATGTAGATACAGATTTGTATGTTATCTATATGTGTTTATCATGTGTGATTGAATTTTTCATTAAAGGATTCATATGAATTTACATATAAGTATAAGAGCGATTCTTATAAACTAGCGGCTTTCGACTTGTTTTTATGAAGTATGTTTTTCCTTGTTATTTTGTTATGGTCTCAAAGTTACATTTAATTCGGACCGTAGAGAAAACTTTATTTTTTGGAAATTTCGATTTAGATATGGTCTCAAAGTTACTTTTAATTCGGACCGTAGAGAAAACTTTACTTTTCGGAAATTTGGTTTTAGATATGGTTTCAAAGTTTCTTTTAGTTCGGACTGTAGAAAAAACTTCACTTTTTAACAATTCTTTCCTGCTTTCTACATCGTTTTTATATCACAATTTATATCATTGTTATATTACCCACAACTAATTTTTTAACCAATTATTTGGCTTAAAACTATCTGGTTTTATTACAATATTTATTTAGTCTTATTGCTATATTTACTAATATGTTACTTATCTCCTGATTTTCATATTATTACTGTTTACAGAAACTTTCATGTTATATTATCTTGCATTCATTACTCAGCTTTGTTTTAATTTTCACATGGTAACAACAATTAGGAGTTGAAATATCTCTGTATAACTATTTGATACAATTTTTAACAGAATAAATTAATACTTTGTCAACTTGATGTTTTATGTTTTATATTATACATATTAGAGATGACCTTAAAAGAACAATAATAACTATAAAGATACTACTAATAAATAATTTTAACAAAAATAATAATTACATTAACAATGAAAATAATAACAAAAATAATTATAAAAAATTAAAAAAAATGCATAGATAATAACTTGACAATTTTTTTACAGTTCAGTGCTGGCTCCAATAGAATTTATTGCACCATTTTGGTTCCTCATCCTTTATACTACATTTAGTATTTTAAATTACATCTTAAAATATTAAAGAAAAAAAGAAGCAACAAATAAAACATGTCTATAAAATTTGATTTAGATTGATCTATGAAATAAGATCTGATGTCATATGGCACCTTTTATGTCTGGAGTTAAAGTGAAAAAATATGGATTTTTAGAAGTACAATAACACTTTAAGAAGTACAATAAAAATGTCAAGTGACATTTTCTGAAAATCATTCATAAAATAAATGGTAACCTCTACTGGAAACCTCAATGGTAACCTCTACTGGAAACCTCAATGGTAACCTCTACTGGAAACCTCAATGGTAACCTCTACTGGAAACCTCAATGGTAACCTCTACTGGAAACCTCAATGGTAACCTCTACTGGAAACTATATATTTTTTAGTAGTAGAAGTAAACACATAAATTAAAAAACAAAACAAAGTACAAATTCAAAATACCTGAAATGTGTACAAAGCAAGCGCATGTGTAACACAGACTCTTTGTTGATCAATTGATGATGTAACAGATAATGTATCATCAGGTATAACAGGTGTGTAAAGATATGAAGTTTTTTCTTCATCAGGAAACTCATTGTCATCAAAGTCATCTGCAATAAAAATTTAATTTTTATTTGACACAAACTACAAACTTAAATGAAAATCATAACTAACTTGTAGCAAGAGTAGAATAAACGTTGACGGGGTTTAATACAAAAACAAACTTGTATTGAACTGAGAACGGAGCTTTATTTTTCACACACCAATTTTACATTTATAAATAATGATCACAAAAAAAAAAAAAAAAAAATTCAGATATAGAAACAACAAATATATAAAAAGAATCATACTAGTTAAAGGTTATTAGCAATAATGTTCCACCAAGATGTTAAGAAGACTGTGGTTAATATCAAGTTTAATAGAAAACAACTTATTGAAAATAGTTTTGATACATATCATTAATAATTTTTCATTTTTAATAATATGTACACAATACATATTTATTATTAACAATACGTACACATTCATTATTAACAATACGTACACATTCATTATAAGCAATAAAGCATTGTGAGTTTCCTTTTTTTGTGTGTTTTCTATTTAATAATCAAAAGATATAATAAATAGAAAAACTACTCATAGTTCTTTAAGTTTATGATCAACTCCCTGAGTAGTACTTGTTTACTTTACCCAATATTTCTTGTTCTTTACTTTACCCAATATTTCTAGTACTTGTTTACATACTTTACAGTTAAGTTGTCTTTTTTGTGATGTTTTGTAGTTTATTTTGTCACATTTTTTGGGTGATATTTTGTATTTTATTTTATCACATTTTTTGGGTGATATTTTGTAGTTTATTTTTTCACATTTTATCAGATATCTATATCAAGATAACTAAATATTAATTAAAAAATCTATTACAAAAAATAAGTTAAAATAAGTAACTTTCATTATTAAGCCTTAGGTTTAAAATTATTTTGTGCTGAAAAAAACAAACTTTGAATATAACTATTGACAAAATAGTTCATATGTATAAAGAATTGTAAATGTCTTTTATGAAAAAGTTTTGTTTTAAAAAAATGTTTAAAAAAGTTTTGATTACAAATATTTGTATGTTAAAATTGGAACTATTAAAATTAATTTTATCAATTTTTATTATTTATTCTCTATAAAAAAATGGTTGATCTCTGTGGATACATTATTTATTCTCTGTAAACATGTTGTTTATTCTCTGTAAATACATTGTTTATTCTCTGTAAATACATTGTTTATTCTTTGTAATTACATTGCTTATTCTCTGTAAATACATTGTTTATTCTCTGTAAATTCATTGTTTATTTTCTATAAATACATTGTTTATTTTCTATAAATACATTATTTATTTTCTATAAATACATTGTTTATTTTCTATAATTGAATTATTTATTTTCTGTAAATATATTGTTTATTCTTTGTAAATACATTGTTTATTCTTTATAAATACATTTTTTTATTTTCTGTAAATACATTGTTTAATCTTAATATCATTCATTTAAACTTATTTTTGTAACACTTGAAAAAGTATAAAAAAAAAATTCAAAATAAAAATATTTTTACCATTATTTCCACTGCTGAATCTACTGTCATCATTAGCATCATCAGGATTGTCATCATCGTCATCATCTGATTGTTTTTCTAATAATGAACTTTGAAGCCACTCATCAACATTAACTAAATCAATTGTGAGATAATTTAAGTTTGTTGTTTACATAAAATGTAAACAACAAACTTAAAAAAATGATTTGAAAAAAAATTAAAATTTAATATATATATTTTTTAAATTCAGAAGCTTTTAGCCTATTTAGTTAAACATTTCATTCAGGTTTTAAAATCATGTTTATTGAAACATCTAAAAAATTGTAGAGTTTTAGTTGAGAATTAATTGAGATAACTCAAAACAAAAACAAAAAAACAACAACAACAGATTTCTTTTTACAAAAAAAGTGTATTATATACATACACTTGTATTAAGGATGTTAAAGCTCAGTTGGCTAGAACTTTAAACAAAATATTAAGACCAGAAAAAGTTGTGCAATAGGAATTCAAATCTGATCTCCACAAACTCACCTAATAGTACTTTAGTACAAAGTTAGCTTGTCAATAACTTTAGGTTAGGTTATATATATTCTATTTATAAATGTTTTGCTTGTTGATTAAACATATCATATGTTTATGTATCAATGTTTTTTTTTAAACTATTTAATGTTACTTAGTCATCTATCAATCATATTTGAATTGCTCTTGAAGGATATTAGAATTCAAAATACAATATTGAGGATATTCTATATTAAACTCAAGGTGTATATTCCAAAGTGAACCATAATTAGTTTTGACTGCTCACTCATTTAATATGAGGTGAGACAAACCATTTTTAAAATACAGAAAGCTTGAAAATACAAACAAAACAAGTATTCAGTAAAAAGAGAAGACATTAATATAGCATTTAAAATATATATAAAATATTTTTTGAAGGTTCAAAATAATAACCTCCAGCAAGTCTCATAGATTGAATCCTTCCCTCAGCCTTTACTATTAACACCTCTAGATGACGAATTTCTTCAACTAATGCTTCTATATTTTGTTCTTTTAATTTAAAAGCTTCAGGATTGAGATCAGGAGCCTACATAAAACAAAAAGGTACATATCAGGAGCCTACATAAAAAGGTACAGATCAGGAGCCTACATAAAACAAAAAGGTACAGATCAGGAGCCTACATAAAACAAAAAGGTATTCAGTAAGATAGCATGAGTTTTTTTAGCATTATTATAGAATTATTAAAAAAATTAAAAAACTGCTCACTGTTTCATTGTTATTATCCGATTGAAGAGAAGAAAGTTGTTTCTGCTTCTTTTTAATCATATTTTGTTCTCTAACATAGCGAAGAGTCCATTTCCTTGCTTCTTTATCAAGAACAGCACTGGCGCCATATTCTAAACTAATACTCGAAATCTAAACAAAACAACCTAAAAATCAACTTGTTTTGCAGGAAAAGTATCAAATGTAAAAAAACAAAAGACTCAAAGGTGTATTCAATACTAACCTTGTCACCTGTTACTGGTTTGAAAGAATAGGTATCATACTGTGAAAATACAGGATTTTTTTTGTGAAAATAATCTAATGCATAAACTTTGTTAAGCTAAAAAAAAGAAGAAGAATTTATGATTTATATGTTTATAAAAAATAATTAAACAAAAAATATGTACCTTGTAACACTTATTACATTAAATCTTCAAAATTTACATTATAATTTAGAGAGAATTCTGTAAATTATCTCAAGTTTTTCAAGAATTACAAACCTATCATTATAAAGGGAAATTTCTGTAAATCAACGATTCTCAACTTTTCCTAAGCTGTGACCCCTTGATAACATTTGCCAAGTTGTGGCAACCCCAACAATAAAATTAATAAGGTTGCTCTTAAATCATTACATTTTAGCAGCTAATTATTATGCTTTTTGACTTCTAAACATCTGATTTTATTTATATTTTATACTTTCTAGGCACCATATTTTTTTGTTATAAATTTTTTACAACTTTTTTATGGTATCAACAAAACAGTTGTATGTTTTGTTTAATATTTGCAAAGGAATTAAATGTCTACATTGTAAAAACATTTTATAAGACCTCAACTTTAAATTTTCAAATGTGATTAACGCTTAAATATATAATGTAGATTGCACAATGCACACTTAAAATATTGTAAACTTTATAATATATAAGTTTGCATTTTGCAATATGCATTATACAAGAGTTACACCCAATCAAAGCTATTAACTTAAAAAATTTAAAAAGAAAATAAAGCTGAAGAAAGCAAAAAATTAAGATCAATTATATCATTGAAAATGTTGGAGTCGCAAAACCTAAAAAGTGTCCATGAGAAATCTGCGTTGGATTCTTTCCAACAAGCTTGAAAAGCCTGTTTCACAAAGGCATGTTAAAGGAAAAGGAAGAAGCAGGTGCAAAATGATCTGATACAGAACAGAATATGACTGCAATCACTTGATCCAAAAATTTTTAATTAACATTGAATAGAAATCATTGCTGCTGGTAATAAGTTCAATAAACTCCTCTTGTGCATTCTTGAACATCTTCAACTCTGATGATGAATAGACTTCTAGCAAGTACAAATGGTGTTTCCAGTAAATTTGTAAAATATCTTATAATTTCTTAAAACTTGAAACTTGAAATAAAAATCTTCACATAAACAAGTAACTGAGAGAAGTTTGCCAAATCTGTTGATTCATTAAGTTGGATGCTAAATATTTCAAGAGGAGCAGATTTCATGTCCTGCTCAAGAATATCAGTAATCATGTTATTCTTTTACTGACAATGTTATTAGAAAAGAATATTGTACTCAGTTTGTTAACATATTTAACTCCAAGCATAACTCAAAAATCGTGAAAACTCGTGAAAATCTGTCAAAATAATTTTAGCATTGTACATTGCTTCGGTGTAATGATTGAAGTCAGAATAGGAGTTTAAACTTAAAATGATAGAAAGAAACCATTGACTGACGCAAACAAATTATTTTCAGAAGGTAAAATGGCAACCCCAGGCAAATTGTCAAGCAACCCTCACTGGGATCGCGACCCCCAGTTTGGAAACTGCTGTTGTAAATTATCTTAAGTTTTTCAAGAATTTCAAGATTAAAAAATTTGAAAAAAAAAAAGTAACAAGTTAAAAGCTTAAATAAAATGCAGAATAATGAGAAATTTCTTTAACAATTGTTTAAGTAGTTCCAGACCTATCAATAATTCCAGACATATCAATAGTTGCATGTTTCTAAACAAGCACATTTGTAATGTGCATTGTGGCTCATATAAAACTTACAGAAAAATAAAGTTTTTTCCTGTCTATTCCTAATTCTATAATCACTACAATACTTCCAATAAGTTGGCATTAAAAATCTATTTTCTGCACACAAATTCTGAATTTCTG